TTCTTACCTTAGTCTTAGCCTACGACAACAATGAATATCAAAATGCCCATTTTTGCTGACGTCCTCTTCGTTTGTTGTTTTGCTTTTCACGGCCCCACTTTTCCTCCCCGCGGGGTCACATGTTTCGCCAGGCGACGACCTCAGCTGCGTTGCCATTTCTTCGCTTCTTGGGCTACTCGAATTTCCAGTCCAAAGTCGGGCCAGGTGATAAGGCCAAAAAGGGGGGAGGGGTTGGCTTTACCCTACCCCACACCTTAATCCCCCCGACTTTAATTACGTAAATCAATTTCCGACTGCTGAACTTCAACTTTGCACCTGATTCCCTCGCCAAAAAACTGTCTGCTCGTAGATATGAAATTTCAGTTTATTGTCTGGTCAGCGGCGAGCCAAACCAACCTGTTGGCCAAGTTTCATACTGATAAGCCGCCCGCAATATAATTTTTATTTTCTGTTAACTTGTTCTATAAATCCGTCAAATATGGCGCATGTTTTGCCTTCGGAATTTTCTGCCAATGAATGAAAGTTTAGATAAAAAACTGCAGAGTTACTTTGGGATTATAAGAAGTCTAAGTTGATTAAAATATGGCGTGAATAGCAATGGCAATAGTATTATCTAGATATGCTCTTGAATAACATACGATCAACTTACTTGTATAAATAATAATTATAATTGTTGAACTTCAAGATCAATCAATTAGTCTGAAAATATTTACTAAACTATGTAGTGGATCAATCTATCTTTCAGGGTATTTCTCTTTAATTATTTCCAAGTGATCTTTTAATTGCTTACGTACGAAGAGTTATTTGCTGTAAATTATTTTTAATGAATTAAGAATTTTACTTATGTATTAAAGTAAAGTCCAGAAAGTTTAATTAGTGTTTCAATAAAAGACTTTTACATTTAATAATTGCCTACTATTATTTATGACTTTATTATTGCTACTAAGAATTAAATGATTGCATTTTTGCTTAAGTCATTAGTTTGCCTTTCAACTAATAATTTTTAAATGCTTACAAAAATCAATTTATTTCAGCTTAGAGATAAATAACAATAATAAAAATTCACTGGATTGTTGCCCTGATTTAGTCTAACAAGCCCATTCCAAATGTATTATCCTATTTACCCCTAAATGTCATTGTAAAAGCGCAATCTGGGTCAACTGATTGCAGGCCCTTAATAAGCCCGTTGTGCTATCGTAAAAACGTTTAAGCATTTCAGCATTTCTAAATAATTATTTAGCAAATGTTAATTTACGACCTGCTGAACTAAACACGTGTATAATGACTCGAACGTCGCAGTGCAAGACCCAAGTACCCCGCTCTCCAGCGGATCCGTAGTATACCCCCTATATGGAAACAGAACCCCAGACGGTTTCCATGCAAACACAGCAAATCGCAGGGTGTTTAATTAGGGTTTGATTTGCTGCGCCCTGTCTGTGTGTTGGTGGCTCAATTCTGCGGCGACATTTGATTGAAATAATGCACAAAAAATTTCCACGATTTGCAAGTACTAAAAAGTCACACGGAAACAAAATACTACAGGGAAATAAAAGGAAAATTATATATATTTGAATTTTTATAATCTCTTTGCAATTTATTTGTTTTGATATGATAACTAAAGTCTTAACAACTAGAAGAATATCTAACTACTACTAAGCTCTAAGCTAATAAAGAATATTTTCTTAAAAATATGATAAACAAATAGATTTATAATTTTTAAATGTGAACAAAACACCGTGAGAAAAGTAATTGTAAAGAGCAATTCAAAACATTTTTTAGTTTATAAAAAAAAACTTTTAATCCTTAGAAAAAATACTTTTTAGTTAGGCATTTATTAAGAGAATCAAAAAAAAGGTAATTTGAATTATTATTTTAACACAAATATTAATATTGGGCTTAACAAATAATATCTTAAATTAATATTTAATCCTACAGAAAATTGATTTTCACAATTATAATACGTTTATTTTAGTAAGATATGTAAATTTATATATTATTTGCTGTTCTATGGTTGACATATGGCTATTATTGTTTATAAAAATTATAAATTTTGCCTCGTCGCACAAAATTGCAACAATTAATTTGTTTACTTTCTGTTTCTGTTTTTCTTTTCTCTGGTCCCGCTTCCGATATTTATTCTGCACAATTTGCTTTATTTGCACATCTATGCAGTGTGTTTTCTCGCCTTTATTTTTGTTTTTTGTTCTTAGATGCAAAATAAATGGCTTGTGAGTGTGTGTGACTCATTGATTCGATGGATAGATGTGTGTGCGATGCTTTAAATTGCTATTTATAAACCAGCAACAGCTTCGTCTTGGCCTCAGTTGGGTTTTGTTTAGCAAATTCTCCCGCTCTCAGGGCTCATTCATCCGTCGAAGCGCCACGGTGTATCTGTGTGATTGAGTGCGAGTGAATGTGTGAGTGAGGCACTCGTACACTCACACACAGGCACACAGTTACACACACACACCAGCAGAGGGAGGCCGGTGCACGTGGTAGCGAAACGTGATAACACAAAATACAACAACTGGCAACAAAACAAACAGAAAACCTGACAACGCCGCCGCCTCTGCCAGCGTTGCCGTCGACGTCATTCTCTCTGCCTCGGCCTCTGCCGCCGCTGGCAGAATTCTCCGGATTGGTTCCCTTTACTCGGCTTTTCCGGCACATAAGCCCGGCCAATGGCGAACCTCTGCCGCACATCCTTCTGCCATTGGAGCCCGAAGTTCAGTTCGTATTTTCCACTTTTCACGAAGTTTCAGTTGACTTGTTGCTTTTGCGGCTCCTAAAATAGTCATTCTGCTCCACGGGGCGTATACTCGATATTTTCCCTGAAATGTCTCGCCTGGGAAAACAGGTGACTGAAGCACACTTTCCCCACATGGCCCATACTTATGATGGGTTTTCAGGGGTGATTGGGTTACTCAAAAGGGTTTTGTTTGACCGAAGAATAGCACAAGGTTGAAAAACAGGTGGGAACAGAAAAGTTTTTGGGGTGGAAAAATTGCCAGGATATTATTGGAAATTCTTTGAATTGGTTTAATAAAATAGGAAAAACTGTGAAAAATGAAGGACGTTATTAGTAACGTATAATAATAATAAAAAATTTAAAACAAATTACGTTTCTGAATTAAAAATGTTACTTAAATTAAAAAAGTATTATTGTAACTTATTTGATTGAATTTCGAAACCATATTATTTTGTGAATAATTTTAAGAAATTTTTGTTCTTAAAATCAAGAACGTGAATAGAAAATTTCTAAAAATTATATTAATTTTAAAGTTTTAAGCGCAGAATTTTTAAAAATTAACTAAAATTAAACGTACATCATCTAAGATTTAATTTAATTAGGATTAAACTGTTTTTCAAAACCAATGACCAATAAAAGTTTAAAGTTTCAATGTTATAAAAGGCTTGGAAATATCGGGAATGTTATCCAAAACTTCCATGAAAATGTACCAGACCTATGCCAACACCAGACGGTTATTATAATTATTAAGAAACCTGAATAAACCCTCGAATAGTTAGAATATTTTTCAAAACTTCCAGGAAAGTGCTGCGACGACCTACGGCAATAGTTTAATGCTTTCGAGTGAACGCAGATTAAGTATTCGCTCCGTTGCAGCTACTGCGTCGTGCATTTGGGTTTACCCAGAGGGTGAAGCACCCTGTCCCAGACCCCCACTGCACCCCCCTCAGAGATCTGCTTACTTGCAATGACGCAGCGTTAATTAGTTGGTGGCACAGAGGCAATCCTGTGAAGCGCATTACGCATACGTCACGTGTTACAGACGCATCAGTGACGATTTAGCCGAATATTGGCATGGCTATTGGCCACGCACTTCAGCTGGCATGTATATGTATATATGGTATATTGGCCATATATGTATACCAGTTACAGGGGGTATGATATAGCCCTCTATTGCGAAGCGACTGGAAACTTTTGAGCTGCATTCATATCTCTATCTGCCAACGTATCTACATGTGTATCTGTGCCCGCCTATCTGTATCTTCGAGTGCGCTTGCCGTTCAACGTGCACCGCTCTCGCTCTCCCAATTAATTTACGCCTGTGTGCGTGGCCGGTGTGTCCGCAACACGTGCTTAGAACTGTGCTAGACAGTGGGCTTTGGGTCATATTGAAATCCGCGTGACTTGGCCGCAGCAGCGCTGCCTCGGTCGATGTCGCTGTCGATGTTTCTGCCCCAGCCCCCGAGTATATACAAACAAATACGGCTGTGCTCAAAATAATAGCAGTCTTCTATGCAAATATTGTAAGCGAAAATAGGTAACAAATTTATTTTAAATATTATTTTTATATATATTTTTAAAAACAATATTACAACTTAAAAGGAATATTATATAGACCTTTATAGATAAATGATAAAAATGATTTTAGAAATGTATCTACAAATATTTGTAAGTCCTTTCTTTATAATCCTGAGAATAAAAATGCAGTAAAGTAGTTAATATTAAAGAAACTGCATTTTAGAATATGAAACTTATAGTTTTGTTATTGTTATAGTCAAAAATAAATTAAAAATAAATTACTTTAAATGCTTGTTTTTATTTTATAATGTTTAGTGCACTTATCACTATATTACAATGATTTTGAAAATCAGAAAAAATATCTAAGCAATAATTAATGGAATATTCTCTATTGGCTTATTAGCTGTTTTAAAAACATAGATGTGGCTTAGGCCCACTACTATTTTTCTGACCCCTGCTGTATGTAAAAATATTCTTTAGTAAAAATACAAATACTTTGCGGTACTAACATTTGTTGGAACAAAAAAAACCTGAAAAACAATTATCAAAGTGGGAGCGGGAGAGCTGTTTTCGGACCTCCGCCCTTTACGTAAGCCGCCTTACTTGCAGAAAATTGCAATTTTAGCTGGCTGAGAGAGAGCGGTAGCGGTAGCCGCGACTGCGACGCCGACTGCGGCGGCGGCAGAGGAAAACCAGAGACGGACATTGAGACCGAGAAAATTACTCGGCCGGCATTCTGTCGCATCGCGTTCTCATGTGAAAATCGTCGCAGCTCGTTACGTTCCGTGTTTTTTGCCACTCGAGCGGGAAAAACGCAAAAATATTCCTATCGTCAACAAAATAAATTAATTGAAATTGATTTTTCGCGAAATAGTTTTAGAAGAGAGCTATAACTCAAGGAAATATAATTTTTGTTTAAACAAATGTCAAGTGCAACCATTGTGAAATCAATGCAAAGTGTGTGTGTGTGTGGTTCATACAAATAATAACTATTATTAAAAGAAAATACATACGCAGAAAGAAAGAAAGAGAGAGAGAGAGAGATAGTACCAGGCAGAGGGAGAAAGAGCGAGAGGTCCGGAGATCTCTCGAGTATATCTGTCCAGCGGCGCCAAAGTTACGGATCCAATTTCAAACAGTTTAATTTATTTTTATTTTTCTACAAAACAACAAACCCAAGAAAGAAAAATACGAAACAGCAAAAACCCAATGCAAAATAAAACGATCTCATTTCTAAGCAGCAACCAATTCTGAGAATAAGAAAAGGTATTAAACAAAAGGCTGAAAGGAAGAAACGAGTTATTCATCAGGAAAAAAGGATAATTCAATTGATTTGGCACATAATAATGTATTTGTTTTGATTTATATATAGAAAATATTCCAAATTCTTCATGTAACAATATTTCGAAATACACGTAAAGCCTTTGTCTTTGGCTAATTCGATTAACACTTTGATTCGGTACATAATAATATGTTTGTTTTCATTCAAATGTAAAACAAAAACCATATCACTTAAATGCCAGTGAAAATTTCCATTGCAAAATTCTTAAAAAACAAAGAACACGGAAACCCTTTGTACCGGTCGATTCCAGTTACAAATTTCTATAGCGTCACAAAAAACTTATTATACAAAATTAATTGAACTGAAAGGAAGCGCAAACTATACAACTATATACAATGCCTTTTCTTATTCCTTATCATCATGATCATCACTAAAATTTAATGGAGACTAAATAAAAATCATACAAAAATAGATGCAAACAAAGTTCATTCCCTGACCACACGAAAACAAGCGAGCCTCATTATCAGCCACTATCAAAATCGCTTCCCTAAACACTGATTCACTGCCAACATTTTTTAACCCACTGTCACCTGTTCATTAGCAACAACGAATTGGCTATCAATTGGCTGACGAAAAAAAAAGAAAAAAACAAGGAAAATAACTGCAACAAAAAAGTGCTTCACACTAATCTGGGTTTTTCAAAACGAAAGCTAAATATTTTCAGATAACACAGACACAAGCGTTTATGCTATACGAAAAAACTATAAAAAAACAACTAAAGTGAATTAAGTGTAAAGACAATGCGCACAACTTTCGGCCGTGGCCCTAAGTTTATACTGCTGACCAGCAAATTCAACCACGTTCAGCACAAGGAGGTGATCACTTAGGATCAGTTAGGATCACCAAAAAAGTCACAACACGTAACCAGTGAAGGATTTACCAGTGAACATTGGAACCTGTTATAGAACCAGTGATAGAAGCAGTGATAGAACCAGTGATCATGTCGTCGGATACGAATTCGTGTACCAGTTTCTTTGCCCAGGAGCATGCCAATGCCACATTGTCGCAGTATTTCCAGCAACTCAATTCGCAAGTTGCTGCTGCAGCGGCGGTAAATAGCAGTGGCAACAACAACGGCAGCAGCAGCAACAATAACAACAACAACAGCAGTGGCAACAACAGCAGCAGCGGCAACAGCGATAGCGGTAATGATGGCAGCATGACGGGATCCTCGGGAACCATGGACAACCATCGCAGCAGTGTTAGCAGCAATGATTCGGGAAAAAGCAGTGCAGGCGGTGGTGGTGGGGCAAGTGGCACGAGCAACAACAATGTGAATGCCTGGGCCTTGCAGCAGCAACAGCAGACAGCCCTGCACCACCAGCAACAGCAACAGCAGCAGCAGCAACATCAGCAGCAGCAGCAGCAACACCAGCAGCACATACAGCAGCAGCATCAAGCACACCAGCAGCATGTGGCCGCTGTCCTACAGCAGCAGCAGCAGCAACAGCAGCAGCAACAGCACTCCCAACATCACGCCCAGCAGCAACATCATGGCCATCCGCTGCACCCGCATCATACACACCAGCAACAGCAACAGCAGCAGCAACACCACCAGCAGCAGCAGCAACAGCAGCAACATGCACAGCAGCAACATCATGCCGCCCAGCTGGCCCACACACTTTCTTCGGCCGCCGTTGCAGCTGCTGCCGGCAACACCAATGGCAACACCAACACCCACTCCATTTTCGGCACCGGCAACTTCCACTACAAGACCAACAACTCGTGGACCCTGCCCACGCTGACGTACCAGCGGATTTACCAGGAGAACCCCCATTACCAGCGCAACTCCTTCATGGATCCCCAGAGCAATGCGGCATCAGCCGCTGCAGTTGCAAGTGGCAACCAGGGATCGAATGGTAATGCCAGTGGCAACAATAATCCCGCTGTTTCAGGAACTGGCAGTGGGAATGGAAATCCTGGCCAGAATAATGACAGCACCAACAACAGTAGCAACAGCAACAACAACAACAACAGCAGCAGCACTAACAACAATGTATCCTCCGTGCAACATGTGGCAAATGCCGTCGCAGCAGCTGTGATCGCCAACGAGCACCACAACCATTTGAACAGCTTGAAATCCCGCTTTCAGCCAGCCAGCTCAGGTGAGGTGAAATGTCCTGAATAAAAAGGAACAAAATAGGAAAACCACTTCGAATTTGTTTACAATAGGGAAAATGATATGTCAAATACGAAAAATATTCAATATTTTGTTAAAACTGCTGTATTTTATATTCTTTATAAGATTCATCTCGAATTAGATGATTATTCAAGGTATTTCCCCACAAAATATAGTAGAAAACATTACTTGAATATACTGATGAGTAGTTCTTAGTAACAAATAAAAAGGCACAAGACTATAAAAAGATCTGTAATTTAGTATTCTTAAACACAATATCTCAGTCTTTATTCTCTTTACTAGTTAACAACTTTTATTACAACGCCTTTCTGGCTTTAACATTTTTTATGATATACATAGGTATTTCTTTCTATAGCTAAAGTATTAGGCTTCTTAAAATTTGTATTTGTGTGTTCTAACATTTATGGAGTATAGATTTCTGAACCACTAATTGGCTTTGTAACTGCAAAAAAATGCATTAAAAACAATGGCAACCGAAAACAACTGATAAAATGCATGACTAGTTCGGTGATTTTTCATTTTTACAAAGCTTGTCTTGTATTAGAAAATGAGTATTCCGTTGTAAAGTCTTGATAGATGGCAGCCCTTTGTGAAATGTCTGTAGAACGTCTATCTGCATCCCGGGGTCTGATATCATCCGACGTCAGCGGCCGAGAACTTTGCGCACTACAAGCTTCTAAAGCGCAAAAGTCAAGAAAGCTTGTCGCGCACACGTGAGCTCAGCTGGGCTCCTATATAGTATACTATATATACATATATATATGTATTTATATAGCCCCAGCAATATAGCCCATTTGTACCGAGCTCACTGACGTCGACTGTTCGAATTGAATAGGAAATGGAATTGAAAATGTAGTTATATTTGCAAATGTATCTTTGCACTGAGGGATCGCCAAGTTTATCGGTTTGCAGCCTACCACAAGGGAAATATCATTAATTTAACAATTTACTTTTCTAATTGATAAAGGAAACATTTATTTTTGCGACCTAGGCCAAACTGCGTTGCTTTAAAAAAACTACACTCAATAACTATATACATATATATCTTATCAGTTTATAGCTTTCGCCTTACTTTTCCTACTGGAATTCTCATTTTGTATGGTAATTAGAACTGAAAAATTATTTCATATGCCGTTAAATTTTCCATTAAATATAAATTAAACCGAAACACATGTTTGGCATTTGGTTTGCTTTGGGCCACACTAAAAGGTTTTTCAATGCTGAAAGTTTTTAGTTACCTTTTTGGCACATCCTTTCACCCTTTTTGATCTACTTTGTCAATGCATTTGCCACAAATCCTTTTGAAAATCGCGACTAAGCTGCCACAAATTTCCTTGTTTTTTCCCATTTCCCTTTTTTTTTTGAACTGACCTCAGTTGGTCACCGTTGAGAAAATGCATTTGGTTTGATTAGATTTCGGAATTAGGCTGATGAGATTTTTATGGCAGATGATATGGAAATGCATATGGCAAATGAAATGTGGGTGTTCTTCCACATCTCCCTCTCGATTGTTTGTATTTTTTGCTGGGGGCCGGTGAAATTTTTCGCTATTGAATATACTGGAAATGACCTTTTAAAGGCAGAATGTATAGTAATTTGTATGAATTTTGTTTTTATATGTGTGTGGGAAGAGCGGGGAAAGCTAAAATGGATAAATGTCGGCTGTCGCTGTGGGTGGGCACCCCTAGCTTGGGAAATATACGCCACCCTTGACAAAGGCAAATATTTCTTTATAAGTTCTCACTTACTTTATTGGGTAGTAAAATAAATAAATTTTTTTGTAATGTGTTATTTAAAACTATTTTATGAATTGTATTTTAATCAAATGTATTTATCGTTTTCTCTTTACAGGTAAGCATAAAAACTCGATATTTTGGAATGCCTTTTTTTGTGAATCAAATATGCTTGGCTACAAATTTGGTTGGTAAGCTTTTGTCTTATTTCATCGACTAACATCCATCATTAAAAGAGAAATTAGTTTTTTAATATGAGTGAAGAAGGGAAAATATTTAAAGGTTATAATGGATAATGAGTAAACGATTTTTCTTTTTAAAAATAAAAATATTTAGAGATTATAATGGATAATAAGTATTATAATAAGGTGTACAAAACATCCATCAGTTAAAGAGAGATTAGATTTAAAATAAGAGTGAGGAAGGTAAAATATTTAAACGTTATAATGGATAATGAGTTAACGATTTTTCTTTTTAAAAATAAAAATATTAAAAAATTATAATGCATAATAAGTATTATAGTCAAGTTAGGTGTACAAATCAAAGGAAACGATTTTTCTTTTTAATGAAACACAAATAAAGTAAATATCTCTACCAATAATTAATAAAGTTTATGGATAGCGAAGATTATATCTTGGAAAGTTCAAAGGTATCTGCAATATAGTTCTTTTGCTATTAAACAAAAACAATTTTAATATGTAAAAGTAGTTTTTTTCGCATTCAAACCCTTATTAAAATAGATATTACTATAAAAGATGATTTCTAAAAACAATTCTAGTGTACAGCACTTACTTAATTTTGGATTGTTAACTTTTGTTGTTAAAAATTGAACAAAAAATGCAACTTGAGCTCAGAAAATTGCACTCAATTAGACGAGCGCAGAGCTTTAGCGACTGACTCAAAACAAAGCTGCTGCCTCTGCGGGCAGCGGAAAATCTGCTTCCGCATTGACGCCAGCGTCGCCGTCGGCGTTGGCAGCGCAGCTCCCGCCAAGCGTGGCGGCAGCGACGCCGGCAGAGGCGAACTTTGGCAGGCTGCGCGAAAGAAAGTAAACAGGCGGAATGCGCAAAAAAAAAAAAAGCGAATGGTGGGAGAAAGAGAGTAAGAGGGCTTTCATGCTTTCGGTTTCAAGTTTGGCTTTTATTTGTCTGCTCGTGCTGTGTGTGTCTTTTTCCTCGCTTCTCCAGCTTTTCACCGCCTCTCTGCCGGGGGCCTCTGCCGATGGTCTCTGCCGCTTCTCTGCTCGGCTGCGAAGCTGCGTTTCATCGCTTTGGCGACGCGCGCGTTCACTCAGCGTTCGCAGTCCGGCGGCACCGGTTCGGTTCACGGCTCTCTACCAAAAAACCAAAAACCTAAAAAAGCCAATTCCAATACCATATAGCCAACCATCCAATTCCGAAAACTCAAATCCCACTCACCAATACAAAAGCCGCCCCAAAAAAGTAAAGAGCAAAAAAAAGCCATAAAATAATACGTATACGACGCGTGTCTTCGTCTTTAGCACGGCGCTTTCGAATTCGTGCGAACTTGTGAACTTTCGTTTCCTTTATCATCCACCCCCCCCCTCAAAAACGGTTTTTTGGCGAGGATCGATCCTCTAGGAGCAGCAGCAGCCCATCTTGGATTAAAATGTATTGTGCAGTGCTCGAAATTATATGATCTCCCCCATCCAAACATAAGAAATTTGTGATCACAAGATCATTAAAGTGAAATTCCTCAATTGAAAGCATAAAGAATTTATACAGAAAAATAGCATACGTATAAAACATAGGCATATATACCCTAAAACATATAAAAAAATATAAAAAATAAATCAAAACGAATAAATCAAAGTTGTTTATAAGTTTGCAAACTAAATTAAATAATATAAAAAAAAATATTTAAGGCATTTGGCAATACATATATTTTGTATATATTTTATGTATGTCATAAAGCATTTAATAGTAACAGAGTAATAAACATTTTTCAGTCACAAAAAAGTTAAAAACTTTGCCTGACATTTTAACAACTTCCCGATTACAAGTCTTATGACAGAAAACACCTGTAATTTCCGTAAAACAAATGAAGTACATGGAAAAAAACTAAAAAAGAAAATATAATATTTCACCCTCTTTAAAATAAATGTAATTGGAAAGGAAACAATAAGATTCCCCCTTTAAAAGAACTAAAACAATACATGTAAATACTTAAAATTTCTAGTAATAATAGAAACTGTCGATAAATAACAAAAGAAAATAAATCAATCTTCTTTTTATTGACAAGCCAAACATTGACTCACAAAAAAAAAAGAATCAATACTATAATAAAAAATTCGCCTGAGCGTCAAACCGCTGAAAATAAGTGAGACGATCAGTCTGAAAAATAGCAAAAACGCACGGCAAAAACATTTTGCTGGGTTGTTTTTTTGTATTGCCGCCTCAAGGTCAAACTTTTCTCATTCAAAAGCGGCGGGCAGAACCCCACAGCAAACAGGCCCAGCCCCACACACAGATACAAAAAAAAATAAAGAAAAAAGTTAAATAAAACAACGCTCAGTACGCGGAATAGTTGACAACGAATAATAATAGAAAAAGGCAAACAAAACAAACAATAGGAAAAAAAAATTGCGAATGCAAAAAAACGGCTACAAAAACTGAGCCAAAGCCCGGGCCATTCTGAGCATTCTGAGTGTAGAAAAGCCAGCTCGCTCTCGGTTGGATGTTGCTGCTGTGCGGGCGATCGCCACGAGCAATTAGAAGCGGCAGCAGCAGCAACAGCAACAGCAGCAGCAGCAGCAACGTGCGATAAAAAGCTTTTTTCGGTTTTAAATTCCAATTTGTTGTTAATTAAGTCAACAGCCAGTGCCGCAGCAGCAACATGTTTGGGCCACACATGGCCAGCTAAGTGATACATGCAATAAATAACTCTGAATCGAGCAAGGAATTTAACAAATTGTGATCTCAGCAATGAGAATGGACTATCAAATGCCACCGCCAGCACTGGCGCTACAGCAGCAACAGCAGCAGCAACATGGCCTGCAACACCAGCAACAGCAGCAGCAACTGCAATTGCTGCAGAATGTGCAACAGCAGCAGCAGCAGCAGCAACACCAGCAGCAACAGTTGCTGGGCAACATGTCGCAGACGGCGGCCTTGCCACCGCTGAGCAGCTTGCCCCTACAAGTGGTGCACAATCTGCCGCATTTGCTGGCCGGCAGCAACAACGCGGGCAATGCCAACAGCAACACCAGCAA